GATTACGCGGCCGGGCGAGAAGATTTACTTGGACGGGTTGAGTTTGTTCATGCAGGGGCTCTATAACGAATTAGGTATAGAGAACTGACTCCCCATGGATCGTAACTTGGGGCTCGCAGAGATGGAACCGAGGAGGGTAAAAGGGAGGCGAAACACGACGAAGACAGCTAGGAAGACGAAAAGCAGCAAGAACTAGCGAGTCTTGAGCCGAGACAGCGGGCGGCCACAGAAGAGATATTGCTCCAGCATGGCGAAGAATTCAGAATGAGCTTTGAATGGTAGAAGCGAAACGATAGTGATGTTGATATGGTCGTGCGTAATCAGGTATCGCAGTCGAATCACAAAAGCGGGATTAAGCAGCGCGCCGAGCGGCAAGACATCGTATCGGTCCGAGGAACGAACGGACAAGGCGGGATGAAAGGAGGGGGAAGTCTGATCAGGCAGTAGTTAAAGCATTCTAACTAGAATCAAAAGAGAGACTTGACTGCCGTCAATGGGCTGCCTGTCATCTCTTTTGTTTCTGGCCAAGATGTGGGTGAGGGTGACGCACTGAATTTGAAGTGGAAGGGCGAGGCCGTGTGGAGGACCACCTCCAGGCCGGGCGTCTTGACCACCTCATCGAAGGCGTCGGGCTGAGCGATGTCGGGGACGATGGCGACGACAAGGTCGCCCGAGGCGGCTTGTGAGGGGTACGCTTCGCGGATCTTGGCCGCTTTGTCCTCGCTGCGGACGGTTGTTACGACGCTGTGGCCTTTGGCAAGCAGCTGTTCGAGGATGTGGGCTGGGTGTAGTGTTAGCAGGGGTGCGGTTTGGGTAAGGGATCTCATGAATGTGGATATCGTCGCTAGATTCGGGCAGCCATCGTCTGACTCGGGACGTGGTCTCGACCCCTAGCCTGGCGGGACAACTGAGAGAGATGCTTGTTGTGTTTCAACTCACCAGCAATGAAGCCGGAGCCACCTATAGTATGTGTTAGTGGTGAGACGAGATTACAGTTTCAATTTCACTCACCTGTCAAAAGAACCTTAGTCATGTTTGTTGTTGTTTATGCCTCGATTCTCACCGTGTTACCTATGGTTGAGTTTCGGGATCCAATATCCCGAAAACGGATGACAAGCAGACACCCTCTTATACTCAAACCCAGACCCTCCCTCACCCCGCATCTTGGCCCCTCTCAGTGGGGTCTGCACGACGTCGTCATCGGATTCGCCATGCATTATCCGCTCTAACGCCATCTGTTGACCCTTCGTGTTATTCCCGGCTCGGCCGAACTTGATATCTCCCAAGCGCTTTATAGGAGTTAGTGACCGGATTTAGCTACTCGCGGACTTTTGACGGAGCCAGCTGAAACATATCGTAAGAAATGTCCCATCTGTTCCAGAACAAACACTGCTCATTGGAAGTAGGTGAGGCACGGTAAACGTGTTAAGTAGTCCGAAGGAATGTGGCTGCCGCAGCCGCAGATAAGGCTGATGGGGATAAGGACGGAATAAAGAATAAGTCCGAGCGACGGGAGAGGAATCGGGGGATCCGGAATTCATCGATTGACCCCATTAATGCTTGCCGATATCTGCGAGATGGGCGAGTAGGTAGGAGTCGTATTTGGGTTATGGATCCGTTATCTGGCGGTGGGGAGGTTGTTGGGTGAGACGAGACTGGTCTACGGGCCATGACGAAGATTGTTTGCTCTGAGGAATAGAATCAGGACCGGAACAGCGTTGGAGTTGGGGGACCGGCTTTGTGTTGGTGAGGTCACAATATAAAGAGTCTACCCCCACAACTTCACTTGATCAAGCAGCTGATAGACTTCAGCCGCAACTGCGGGAAGGCCGGTTGACAGGTATAGAGACCAACCGCCTTACCGTCCTACCCAGACGATTCTGTCAAAGGAAGTGTATTTGAGTTGCCTTCACACAAACCAATACATGAAAAACAGTACCCCCCTTTCCGTCCCCTGCCAACTCCCAAACCCGGGAAAGCAAGCCAACGGCCTTTGGCCTCCCAAGACCAAGAATCTATGCCACAGCCCAGCCAAATCCGGTCCAAAAGGTAAAAGACAAACTCATTGTTTCCATTCTCGTGCAACCCCGTCCATGCATGCACTCCTCTATCCCCACTCCTAAACCAGAACCACCCCTCACTCCGTCGTATCCATTGCCTCGCCCTCCCCCCTCGCCTTCGCCCGCCTCTCCGCCTTCCACGCCTCGATCCTCCCCTGCAGCTCCGTGTCCGGCACCACATCCTCGATGCTCATCGGCTGCCTCGTATAGGGGTCCTTGGGGTCGCTCAGCAGATGCTGCGTGATAGTGGACCGGTCGACAACATGCTTTCGACGGCAGCACCACCGGGTCGGACATGAGGATGCCCATGATGGGGTCCTCGAACTCGGCCGGGGCGTCGTCGTAGTCGAGATCGGCGCGGTCCAGCGCCTCCTTGGCGCTCTCGATCTGCGCGGCGAGCACCTCCCAGGCGAGGATGTCCTTTTCGTCTTTGAGGTGCTTGTTGCGCAGGATGAATGCCGTCATCTTCATTGTGGCGGGCGAGTAGGAGCGGCCGTCGGCGGCGACAGCTTCGATAAAGGTTGAAGACTCGCTGAGGTTGAGGTAGATGTCGACGAGCTCCGGGAGGAGGGTTTTGGGGTTGAAGTAATACTTTTCGGGGTTCTCGACCTTCAAGGTTTTGGACTTGGGACCCGTCAGGATCTCAAGGTTGTAGTCCAGCATGCCGGCTAGGCGCTGGACAATCTCGGGCATGGTGAAGGAGTCGACGAGAGAGCTGGTGAAGAGCTTCATCATGCTGACCGTCTCGTTGGCCAGCTGCATGTACGACGTTGCCTGGCCCTCAGCCGTGCGGAGTTCCTCTTCGGTCTTCTCGCGGTCTTCTTGTGAGAGGGTGGGGTCCCGAAGGCGGGCTTGCAGGTCGTGAATCTTGGGAAACTTGCTGAGGCCTTCATCTAGGACGTACGTCGCGTCGTTCATCAAGAGGTTGACGAAACGGACGAAGAACGTGCGGTTCGATCTGCTAGAGTCAGTATCAAAGAGCGAGAAGTGTACAAGGAAGGCAACTTACCTGCTAGATTGGACGAGTTGTTGCCGGTATAGGTCGTTGGGCCAAATACATTTAATAACCTGGAAGATCTCGAACCGGATGTTGAACTTGTCGTAAAACGCCGTATGAGCACCCGTAGACTCGCACTCGATGTAGAATTTCATGACGGCGTGCAGCAGGTAGTCGTTTGCGAATTTGCTGCTGGTCATTGCATCGCCTAGGACCCCCTTCTTCATGTGGTAGGTCGGCCATGTCCCATGCGACAGCAGCGTGACGAGGGACGATTTTAGGTACGGATTCTTTATGTACTCGGACGACTCCAGGAACGTGATGCAGAGCGCGATCATCTCGTCGCCCGCTGCAGACAAAATGACCTGCGGGATGTAGCGGAAGACAAACTTGAAGTTGTCGACAATGTCCTGCAGTGCGTACTCTGGCAGGCACTTGAAGGCCTCCGGCTGATCCACAGACAGAGGAAGTTTGAGCGGCTTGTCCGGGGTGTACTCTGTCTGGCTGGCGACTCTCAACAGCCATACAGTGACATAGCGCATGAACTGCAGCGACCGACTTTGCATCTTCTGTTCCAATAAGATGCCCTCGATCGAGAATTTCATCGCCATGGCGCGCTCCAATACGGCCGTGTGCCGCTTAACCGCCTCGTCCAGTAATCGAAGCTGCTCCGGCCGATGAATGAGTTTGTGCCGCTCTCCCTCCATCATAGCGATGTTCTTCTCGTAGTGCTTGATATCCCGATCAAGGTTCTTCATCTTGGAATTTGCTGCCTCGCTGCCATAATGATGTGCTGCCAGAGTCAAGAAGAAAATCTCCGTGATGAAATTCGACTCCCCTTCCAGCTTGTTTGCGTAGAAGGCATCGGATTGCGCCTGGTCCGCGTTGAGCTTCGTCTCGTCCTTGATGTCAACCCTCGGATTCCTCCTGAAATAACCAATGTCGATACGTTCCACCTTGGAAAAGTTGCTGTCCATGAAGGGCTCACACAGCATATCGAGAATGACAGTAACATTGATCATGAAGCCGTCAGACGAAACCTCCCTCGGATCGACTTGCATGGCTCGCCTCTTGTGGTTGGCGTTCATGACGTAGGCAAACCAATCCAGGATCTTGTTTCTGGCCTGGGGGCTCGCGCGGATGAAGGCGTTGGCGATGGTCCTAAGGTCCGTCTGGTGCGCCCCCAGTGTCATCTGCAGGGCGCTTTGTGACGCCTGGATACGCCCCTTATCCATCGTTCTTGGCCCTGCGAAGTAGACCGTAGTAACTTCTGGTTGGAGAGGCGATATCCTAAAAAACGGTCCAAGGATCGTGTTTTTCTCAATCCCAGGGGCCGACAGTGCCATCTGGAAACACGGATCTTGTGCCAAGGCATTCAGGAGCGGTGGAAACCTGGAGTAGGTCAAGAGGGCCTGGGAAGGTCAGCAACGGGAGCTCGCCAATCAAGCTTCGAACTCACGTTGACGCAGGGCTTGTAGTCATCGTTCATGTTCATCGTAGACAACTTGTTGCTGATGTCCACCATGGCCTTGGTAAACAGCCCAGCAATAGTCTCGTCCTCCTCCAGACGAGCTATGGCCTCTCCAAAGAAGTCCATACACAACCCGTTATCGGTTTCTACTTCGCGCAGTAGATAGGGTACTAACGTGTCGTGAAGCGGGTTCGGCTCTCGGCTCCACGACCCCAAAATGTCAGCACCGGCCACGAAGCAGCCCCCAACCTCGAACCTACCTGAACAGCTCCGGCACAGTCAACGCAAATATGCAGTTGCTGAAGCATAACCTCCTGGCCTCCTTAAGCAACGCCTCTTTCTCTGGAGTCGGGTTACGGAGCACCTTTATCGTCTTGACCACCCGCTTCCAGCACGGCAGGAGGTAGTCGAACAGCGGTTTATCGTGTGGGATGGCCGTGGCAACCTCCATAATCGCCTCCTCCAACCTATCAACAGATAGCTTGAGCGGCGCGCCTTCATCCGTGAGGTCCGCGCTGAGGTTCGGCAAGAAGGCTAGCTTCTGTCCGCTTGCGCTGGTCGTGCGGCTCGGATCGACGGTGAAGCGGAATATCGTCGAGAGGATGCGGTCGGCATAGTCGTCGATCGTTTCCTGTGCGGCGGGGGCCGTCTGCTTTTTGGGCGGCGCGCTTGCTGAAGGCCCGTCAACATCCGACACATGTCTCTTCCCACGAAAGCCGTCATTGTTGGTAGTACCTGGTCTGCTACTGCTCGGACTGTTGGCGCTCTGGGGGGTCGCCGCTGCCGGGGTAGACGAGATTTTGGATTTGGGCTGAGTGTTCACCGGCGCCGTTTTCTCGGCCTCTTTATCGTTTGAGGACCCTGGGGAACCTTGTCCGGGGGCAGGCGATGCCTCTGTTTTTTGTGACCCTGCGGCAGGTGTGCTTGTTCCCGACGGACCTCCAAGTTTCGCCAGTCGCCGTCGACGGATTTGCTCCATTGTCTCTTGGTCTGGCGCATCGGGCGTTGCTGCCGGGGGGGGCTGCTCGTTCGGATCCATAGTCTCGTTTGTCAACGGCGTCCTCGGGAAAATTGATGCCGGGAAGAAATTGAAGAAAAACGGAAGCCGACAGAAAGATTAGAAACAGAAATGAAAGGTTAAGAAGCGTAACGGATGTTGCCAGCGCTTCCGGCTTCACGACCAGTTTGGGTTGATGGCGGGGTTTAAACAGAGCTCCGGCTGGGAGGGTACGAGGGATTGCAGCCTGGCCTCCCCTGTTTGCTACAGGGCCGTTGCTGACGCAAGAGCAAGCAATGGAAGACCGGTGGAATTATTCGTTAGGTAAGCGAATGTTGCTTAGTTAACGTAATCTATCACCTTTCCGGCCACACCACCTTTCCGGCCACTTCCCAGCCCCGCACCCCACCACGTCCACTTTGGAAACACCCCACAACGCAAAAGAGAGTCTATTCGAAATACAATCTTTGTAATTCGAGTCCTTATTTACATGGGCATTTCCTGGTGTTGTGTTCGATTGAGCCGCAGATACTACACTTTGCCTGTGCACGCTTTCGCGCCTTTGGCGCAGTCGTGTCCGATGGCCCCACCTCTCCTTCTTCGACCTCTCGACGAGCTTCCTGGCTTCCTTGACCCTTCTGACGAGCATTCTGGGAGGCCCCGATGTGTGTCATCCCTCCTCCAATCGTCATAGTACCTCCTGTTTGAATGAAAGCTCGGCGTGCCCGCTTTCTCTTTTGTCGACCATTTTCAGCTCGAAGTCGCGAGTTCTCTTCCTGCAAAAGAGTAGCGTTGTGCATCGCCATCTGGCAGCCCTTGATGATTTTCTGAAGCGCCTGATCTGTTGGGCTTATCTCTCTCTGGCGTTTCCTCTGGAGAGAGTCAAGCTCGACTATGTTTACTGGCGTTTTGAGAGGCAGATTTGGCGGTTGGATAGGGGTAGGAGGGGGACTCGGTGTCCGTATCTTGGTTTGTAGCCGACAAAGAACCTGAGTTGGATCGAGAGGCGAGAGCCCTGTAGCCCTAAAGCCACTTACGATGTTCCTTGTGCTGAACGTCTTTTTCCGAGCTTCAAGAAACAGTTCGAGGAACCTTGGGTTGTCGATGTGATAAACCCCGAGTGCTATCATCGCTTTGACAAGGTCGCCGTACGTCCGCTTCAGCACAGCGAAACAGCTGACGTCAAGAGGCTGGAGGTGGTGCGACGAGTGCGGAGGCATGCACTCTGTAAGGATCCGATGCTCAGTACAGAATTTGTCGAATTCAGGGATCGAATGACTTCCATGACCATCGAGAATAAGAAGCCGATAGTTATCGACCAACAGTTCGGTTTCGAGTTTGTGGCTCGAAGACCTCTCGAAGCCACTCGAAAGTAAGCTGATCGGTTGTCCAGCCGTTATCGCTAACTCCAATCCGCCATGTCTTCGGCAAGAGTGAGCCTTCTTACCACGTTGAAATGTGGACTTTCCCTTCGAAGATAATCAATGGATCAAGTGCCCAACCAGTTGCGTTGATGCATTCATTGACTGTCGTCCACTCTCGGTTCCCTAGCTGAATAACAACAGGTCGGTTCCGTCGGTCAGACCGAGTAACCACTTAGGATGTACTTGCAACACCCATCTGGAAGCCGGTCTCGTCAAAGTTGTAGATATCCACGTCGAGGACTCCGTACTCGTTGATGGTCTTTTGCACCCGTGCAAACCACGCTGAAATCTTCTCTGGGTCTTCGCATAAGGCTTGTTGATAGTGGTACTTCCTAGAATACTTCGTGTTCAGATGGGGATGCCGATGAAGAAGCCGCTGGACCCAGTTCTCCCCGACAGTCATTGCCGGGACCGGGGTGGATGTAAGAGACGCGTCGAGTAAAGTGAAGCCTCCACGCTCGCGGAGAAGAAGGTTGGCCATCTGTCGGATATAACCGATCGTTGGCGACATCCCACGGTCGTCCAATGATTCGATCCATTGAATCAGGGCAGCTTCTTCGGTCGGGAGTAGCTTTCGACTCTTGACTTGCGCTTGTTGACGTGTAGTACCCCCCTTGACGCGTTCTTATAAAGTCGTATTTGGTACGTCAAATGCGGCTGCAGCGTTGCGAATGCTTTTGATTTGGCCTGAACGTAAGGCCTCTAGGGGCTAATTGGATCCTATCTTCGTGCTGTAGAGGCTTTGGCATTTTGCCGGGTACGATGGCATGGTAAGGTGCATCCAAAGTGGACGTGGTGGGGTGCGGGGCTGGAAAGTGGCCGGAAAGGTGGTGTGGCCGGAAAGGTGATAGATTACGTTATCGATAAGCACTCTGTTGGGACGACCTCCTATTCAACGCCATCACGGGGCGGAAAGGTGGTTGGACAAGACAGAGAAAACTAGTTATCCATATTGAGTGTGCTTTCTTAGCTCAATTAAGTCGATGGTAGACACCTACGTGTGGTATATATATTGTAGTAGTTTCACAGTATGTGACACGGACATATCAGTCCTCCTGAACACCCCCATCCTCCCAATCCTGGTAACGCCGTTTCCCTTGAGGGAATCTACTAGTATAACCCTTTGCACTGACGGTAGATCGACACCTAACTCCTAAAAGTATTCATCACTTCAACATCCGCCCCTCAGCCAACTCCAAGACTGCCCAGTAGCCCAGACGAGACACATACAAAGAAGCACAATCGTCGTCATCACCATCCATAACTTCACAACCGGTGGAGAGTCTCCGACCTCCCCTCACTACTTCGCCGGCTCTCCCCCGTGCTGCTGCCTTCGCCAGAAGATCCCGGCCTTGCGCCACTAGTGGCACTTCCGTGAGACATCCCAGAGTTGGCGGACCCCGCAGTCGACCCGGCACGCTGTTGCGCATGGCTCTGACGCTGCAGGCTCATGAGCCAGGACATGTGCATGTTGACGACGCCGACCTTGTTGCCAATTTCTGCGAGGTGTTCGTTAAAGTGCGTCGCTTGCTGGTGAATGATGTGGGACCGGTGGGCGTCCATCTCCAAAGCCTGCTTCCGGAGGAGCTCCACTTCGGTCTCTAGCCTCTCGAATTGTGCCAGCAGGTAATCCTCTGGCGATCCTCCCACTGCGCCATCGTCCGTCGAGTCTGGGAACAAGGGAGGCATGTTGTTGTTGAGAGTAATGTCCGGGACGTTGGCGGATGTGGGGTTGCGGGAGGAGCTTGCCATCGAGCTACCAACCCGGGCTCGCTGGGTGAACCGCCGCTCGGGATTCTTGCCCTGGGCAAGTTCAAATTTATTGAGTCGTCTGACCAGCTCGTCAATGATTTTGCGGTCTTCAACCTGCTGCTGTATCAAACGACCCACGGCCTCAGAAGGGCATCCACTTTGTTCATGGTCCTGGACGATCCGGCGCTTGTCGACCACCTTGCAGCCCCCAGTATGCCACTTGCATGAGGTGGTCTCCTCCGCACAATCTTGTGCCCGATGTTTTACGAGGCAGTGGCGCACAACCTGTTCCTTGCATTCCGGGCACTCGGCCATGGCACCTTCGCAATCGAAGTTGTAGTGTGTGCTCAATTCCACGAAGGCTACCGTTTTATGACAGAATTCGCAGATAGCGTCCTTGTGGAGGCACCCATTTTCCACCGCCGAGTCCCGTCGTGGGGTAAGCCGGGAGCAGGTCGAATCCGGGCATCGGACCTGAGTGTACTCGCAACGACGCTCATAGTGGCCCTCGAGGTGCTCACGGGGGCACTGGTAGTCACACCCTTTGTTTGGGCATCGGACTTGGAGGCGATCCAACTGCTCCTTGATAATTAAGGGTAGTCGCCCGTAGTCGCACGTCTTGTTGATCGGTTGCCGATCGATTGGGCACCTTGGCTGTGTCTCCAGTGCTCGGTTGATACAACCTGCACAAAAGGTGTGACCGCATGGTGTGGTTATGGGCGAATGGAATGGTGTTCTGCACACCGGGCAAAGGAGAGTTTCGTCGACTGGCTCGACGTACTCGATGTTTTGATAATCTAAATTTGAAACGTACGCATCTTCTTGTGATGCATGGGCCATGGCGCTGCTTGGGGATGATGCTCGAAAGTTGTCATCATCAGCTGGCCGTAAGGTTGTCGCTGCCACCCCTTCCTCTGGGGTATTTGGAGGTGGCATGGCTGTAGTAGCGGGATCGGAGCGGGCCACCAAGACCAGGGCCGAATCCCACGGTGCGAAGTGGGAAAGAAAGGATCAGGTGAAGTCTCAGTACCTGTGGTCTCCAACGAGTAGTCGGCAGCACAATGAAAGTAGCAGGCAAGTGGAAGCCGAGTAAGAGAGATGGTAATGAGAGAAAAGGTAATCGCGAAGTGAGATGAATGGCGGGATGGACTCCGAATTAGGTAGTTAATGAATGGCGGGAACGCGATGGAAGGCAAGATGGTGGGTAAGGTGTCCCAGCTGCCCAGCCAGCATTTTGAGGAACTCACGAAAATGCGGAGCTCCACCAAATCATCAGCTCACCCCACATCCGAATACCCGGTCTGCCGGTTCCCTTCTCAGCCCTGAAGAGAAAGGATGCAAATCTAACAACAGCCAATATGAGGTCACCGAAAACATGATTTTTGTTGATGACGAAAGAATGACCATAGATCTCATAAAATATGGAATATTGTTGGAATTAAACCATATGAGGCTTGCCCCTTATCCATGACAGTCAGCTGCGTAAATCGGGTATGCCAAGACTGTCTACCCGTTACTCTGCTACCACTTGCATCTGAATTTGACTGCATGAAGGGACGGGAGGCAGGAGCACACAGAAGAGGGCCATGTCATTTCTACTGTGTGAGGTAGGCAACCTAGTGTTGGGATTTCTCTCCGTCAAAAGTTCTAGGTCGCGAACATTAGTTAGTTAGTTAACTAACTAAAGCTAATGTTTTCATGCTGACATAACCTCGATGTTCGGATGAGGCTGGCTCCGAAGTGCTTTCCCCCCGAAGGCCCTTGGGCGACAAGTAAACTCAGAGAGGTCATGGATGATTGATTAGTGGCGCTCAGCAAAACGAGCGGCATAGGTTGCTTCGAAAGTCGGTCAGAGTTGGCTGTGGTGAAACAGAACCACAAGATTTAAGCGTGCACGTCGTATTCCTGTCTCAACCCGTCTTGTGTATCGAGAAACCCAGAGACACCCATCTCAAAAACAACCTCGATCTCGAAGTCACGCGTTAAGAAGGGTCGTTTTGGTGGTAGATAGTTGGGGCGCTTGTTTGGGGGTGCATTTGATGGTATGCACATAGGTACCTACCAAGTACAGAAAAAGCCCTCCAAGTCACATCGTTCATTAATTCTGGGATGGTCCAATTTGTCCCAGAAGGCCAGTCTATAGGGCCCATAATCCCACATAGAAAATCGGGGCCTGTGAAGCAAAGGTGCTCTGATGCAGGGACCGGACTCAGCTCCTGGAACTGATGCATAGAAAGGATAGGCTGGCACGGCTTGCTGGCCGAGGTTCAAGGAAGCCAACCAGAAATGGAAATAACTCGCATGATGACAGACTCAACACTGCGTGCTGACAATGGGAAGAAATTGAGTTGCGCCGAGGGTCGGCTTGGCGTTTTGAGGCCGTTACAGCAATGGGCTACATTTTTTGGATACTGTCAGAGTAAAAATTGAGAGCTCAGAAGCCGACGGAGTCGAAGTTGAGATCAGAAACAGACGGGAATCGGAAAACACAAATCTGAGCCGATCGGGCAGGGGTCCCACCTAACCCCTGTTAGTGCCAAAAAAGTTACCCCTCGGTTCTGATGGACTTCGCCCCGCCCCGGCAAGCCAAAAGCCACCCCGGCAGCCCGACCCGCTCGCTGTGCTGTGCCTGCGCCCACAAAGGTCCACGGATTGCCTAGCAGGTGGAGAGCGATTTCCGGCTTCTCGACTCGAGCCAGCGACTGCCACCTGACTGCAACATCTACGCCTCGACAATCGTGACGGCCCGCGGAATGGTATCAATTCCACAGCGCCATGCTTTTTATAGCCATACAAAGAAAATAACCACCTCGGAACACGCGATAGTTATCACGGCAACTCGAGCCGACCACAGCCGCCCTCAACCGTCACAAGCAAGCCGAGACAACATTTGCAGCAGCAGGGAACCGAAGGACAGCACAACAGCAGTGGCAGATTTTGGGACACGCAGCGCCAGCAGCAGCACCTGGCAGCTCCGGGAAACACCAGAATAGCAGCCGCTACGTCGGAACCGCCATCGAATTGTCACCAATACCTGCGAGGAGCCGCCGGCCCTGCTCAAATGAGCTGCGAACTGGACGCCCATTGCGTAACCCCGAGACCCAATGGGAGCTGTTCCCACTAGACAATGACGGCACCCGAAGCCATGGAGAGGACGACCGGGAGCGAGGGCAAAAACTCCAGGTCCGAGGACGAGGAGGCCCAACCCCACGATCAGCGTGCATCTGCCGCCGACAACGCCCAAAGGACCCCCAAGAAGCGCCGCAAAGTGAACCATGGTGAGTTAGTGGCGCGCTGTGTCGCCCTCCCCTCCCTTCTGCGTATCCCCTACGCTAACTGTGTCCGCCTTCTTTGCAGCCTGCATCTACTGCCGCCGATCTGTAAGTCACTGATCCCAATGCGCCAGACGTACACACAACCCCTGTCCAACAATTATGCCCCCCCTTCCACTTCGGCGGGTGTCGCGGTTGGGCCTGCCACCGCGGCGTGCGCCCTGCAGCGACACACAAGCGTCCACTCAGCCGTATACGGCAACAAGATGCACAAGTTCAGTCGTTCTAATGGCTAACCATGTCCTGCTGCCTAGCACATGACGTGTGATCTCGTATGTGTCCTCCCCCCTACCGTATCTCGGACCATTGGTTCGGTTGCCGGGCAGACATTGACCCGCATTGTGTGTTGTGAACAGGAGAGGCCATGTACAAGATGCATCAAGCGCAACATTGGGCACCTATGTCACGATGAGCCCCGTGAGCAGGAGACCAAAAAGTCCAAAAGTCTGGCCCCATCCTCCGTCCAGGACCCTACGTCGCAGCCGGATCCGGGACCCAGCAGCTCTATCAACCAAAATGCCGGCGCCATGAAACCACCCTCGTTTGACTCGGCCATGAGCAACGGCCCGGTACAGGTGGCGAAGGCCGCCTTTGACGCGGCGGCGCTAGCGGACCGGAGCAATAACCCCATCCAGCTCGTGCAACCCACACCCGTACCTAGCATAACGGGCAGCACCTTGGAAGCCATGAGTCAGTGTAGGTGGCTAGAACTCCCCCGGGGCCCCGTCCGTGTCTGAGGTTCGCAGGAGCTGACGCTTACCGCTCCGCAGTTTCCGGCTTCTCTGACGTCTGGCTGGCTTCACAGAACCCTTACCACGCTATGCACAACTTCCACCCCAGCCATGTAGCCGCGCCCGAGCTCAAGCATGAGTGGGATCTCTTGAGTGACTTTTTGCAAACCAGCTTGAGCGATGACCAGAACCAGCCCGACGCGGCCTCGGGATTCCCCAGCGGCACCGCCATGCTCCCTCCGAGTACGGTCCAGGGGAGCTCCGCGCCTCCGCCGAATGCCGAGCAGGGCAAAGGCATTCCCAGGCCCGACAGCGCCCTCCCGGTGGATAAAACCCGCGCATACTACCTCCAAGCGGCCGATCCGTCGGGCAGTGCGCCTGAAGAGCGCATGCGCCAGGTTCTGCAGGCCAAGTACGAGGCGGGGCTGTTGAAGCCGTTCAACTACATCAACGGGTACACCCGCCTTGGGAGCTACCTTGATGGCCATGTCTCCGCGTCGTCGAAACAGAAGATCCTGAGGCAGCTCGATCGCTTCCGGCCCAAGTTTCGTGAGAAGATCAAGGATTTGACCGATATGGACCTCGTGTTGGTTGAAATGTGGTTCGAGCGGACGCTCATGGACTACGACCGTGTGTTTGCTAGCATGGCCGTCCCAGCCTGTTGCTGGAGACGGACGGGCGAGATTTTTAGAGGAAACAAAGAGATGGCCGAGCTCATCGGCGTGCCGGTCGAGGACCTACGAGGAGTGAGTCTAGCCTCGCAACAGAGTTTGACATGCCCCAACTAACCATGTGCCAGGGAAAAATTGCCCTTCATCAAATTTTAACAGAAGAATCCAACGTCAGGTACTGGGAAGAGTTTGGAACCATCGCATTCGACGCGGCCCACGACACACTCCTTACAGCCTGCTCGCTGCAAAACCCTAATGATCCAAAGAAACGCGTCATCAACTGCTGTTTCTCCTTTAGGATTCGCAGAGACGATCACAAAATGTAGGTGCTCTGCTTTCTATCGATCACCAAGTTGCTGACCGGTATAGCCCGAGCCTAATTATCGGGAATTTCCTTCCCCACGACCCCGACCACAACCTATAACTATACACGGCCTTGATAAACAAGCTCACATAGCGACAGACCGTCGCCGCATTATCCCAAAATTCTGGGTCTTGAACGGACGCAACAAAAGACCACAGTTGTCGCCACTCAGTTTTGGGGCGGGTTTGGTACATATATCTGTACATTTCTTTTTAGATTTCATTGGTGTATTGGAGGATACTGGATTTTTATACATGGAACACAGAAAAGGACGGGTTGCATTTAGGATGGGAGAATATTCCTTCCCGAACAAGAAACATGGTTGCGAGGCCATTATATTCGGGTGGAGGGAGGTGTTATCATCGTACCTTCCTTGGGATGGTCGTTGAGGTATTCAGGCAGAAATTCACCACCTGCCACCAATTTCTTTCTTTTCTTTTTCTCGGCGTTGCCTGATACCTATATACCGTTCAAAAACATTACCGGTTTCTGCTGTTTTCTAGATCCCAATCCACCAAACATAACATCGCCGCTTCGGACTGTGGTCCGAAACCAACGACCCCTTTCGAACCGCGTGTTCCAATCCGTGATGCCTCCTCCGCACGAGCACCCAGGCATGCTGCCTCTCAGTCAAGCAATAAATCTGAAAAGCGAATCGAAGCAGCAATCGGTATGTTGATCCCCATGCCCCCCTCCAGAAAGCCCAACCCCACAACCCTATCAACACAGTACCACAACACCCCCAACCAACAACAAAAACACAACCAAACCACTAACCACACCCCCATGCAACCCCCCCCCCCCAAAAACAGAATTCGCAACCCGCCTCCGCACCATCCTCACCGGCCCCGAACCCGCCGACACGCCTCTCACCGAATCCCTCGTCGCCGACATCGCCAAGCATGCCGCACACCTGCATGTGTGCCAGCAGACCTACGTCCCGGACCTGAGCGGCGATCCGGAGGTGGACGAGTTGGCGACGGGGTTGTGGAATGTTTGTACAAGGTTGTGGAGGGGGTGGAGGGAGAAGGAGAGGGAGGGGGAGGGGGAGGGGGTAGATGGGGGGAGGGGAGAGGGTAAGAGCGGTGGTGGTGGTGGGGGTGGAGGGGGAGATGGGAAGGGGAAACCCAAACTTGGGAGGTTGGGGAGACTGTACCTGTATGGGAGGGTGCTTGCGTTCCATTTGTTGGGTGTGGCGAGGCCCAGGGGGAATGGGCGGGTGGGGGTGGTGGTGAGGTTGATGAAGTTGGGGTTGAAAGTCGTGAGGGATTGCGTTGGTAAGTCGGGAGCGCGTCCTATAAGGGGGGTGGCTGACGTGAGCAGATGCTGGGGGAAGTCGAATTGGCCGGCAAGGTGGTCCAGTCCACAACCGACTATAAGGGGTGGCTGCAGAATATGTCGAAAGACCTTCCTGAGGAGGAAGTGAGGGAATGTCAGTGTCTGGAGGTGGAGTACTTCATCATGAGGACAGCAATGGTAGGCAGGTCCACGTTGCCTTGGGACACTGCGCTAACTTATTCAGTGCTGGGTAGAAGACAGACTCGACGTTGCCGAGCACATGTACGCCAAAGCCGAACTCCTTCGCCAGTTCCTTACGCCCGAGTATACCGAACGGCTTGCAGACGTGCTGTACGAGATCGGGAAGTCCTTGGCAGCCCGGAGCGACTTTCCGATTGCGGTCAAGTGGTTTCAGCGAGCCAACGATGTGATCAACAGCCAGGAACTTGAACAATTATCCCGCGAAGGCGTCGAGCTGCGGCTCGCAATCCTCCAAGGCCTAGTGACCGCACTTCTGGGTACCGGTACTCCGGAGGGACTGGATAAAGCCAAAAGTTACGTCGAGTTTATCGAGGCGGAAGCTGGCAATAAATTCGTTATCTCATTACTCAAGCTCGAACTACTAACAAAAACGCCCGCGGAGGTCTTTGACAGCGATGCTTACGGCGACGTTCTACGGCACATTATACGAAACTTCTCCTTCTCCGACTCAGGGTTCAAGTTAATCATGCACCACATCCGAAAACTACACGACAAGAGTCCTGGGGCTGGCTGTGCTGTCCTAGACGACTTCATCGTAGCGTTAGGCAGCCAGGAAAATGACGGGTGGATAGAAAAAGCAGTCGTAACGCGAATGTGGATGATCACGAACCAACGGGACTCGGTCGAAACAATCAACACTGTGCAAGGCGTGCTCAAGTGTTTGACTAATCCCTTAAGTGCGGAGGCGGCCGTAGCAGCGCAAGCGGTAGGCAGGTCGAATCGTTCTCCTAACGAAGGGCTAACGTCTTGCAGTTGCTTTGGAAGAAGCTGGAATTGAGTTACAGCCAGGGTCAATATGACTTAGCCGAGAGCTGGTGCCAGTTATCGTTGCACGCTGTCTTTCAACGCTGCGGCTCCAGGAACATATCCAAGCTAGAGAGGTAAGTCAGCTCATGGTAAGCTCACGGAGGAGGTGCTGACAGTGGCAAGGAAGCTACTCATGTGCGCGCTTGCAAGAAACAGCTTAGACTCTGCTTCATCCATCATTCACAAGATGTCCGCGCAGAGCTGGAAAGAGCCCATGACGGCCTACCTCGCATTCAAAGTGGCAATCCGGGTCGAAGACCGCACTCTTGCCGAGAAGTGCCTTGAAACTATCGGCCAGGCGCCGGATCATATCGACTATCTTGGTGCCTGCATAGCGGAATCTCAGAAGGCTGGCGACATCTTGTGCGCCATTTCCGCTTTGAAGAAGCTCCAAGAAAAATATGAGTACAAAGAACCGAGCTCAATACATCTTCCAGCTCTGTTCCGGTGCACCATCCGTTTGTTAAACTTGCTGGCAGAGCGGCCAGGGACAGATCTCAATGCTATCGTGAATGATTTGTGTCAAGAGTTTGATGATGGTCAGTGAACCTTCCCTGCCAACGCGGCAATTACTGATAGTGGTAGTCATCCTAGCACTTGAGCGGCAAAAAGAAAGGGGTTCCTCGGAACAAAAGCTTTTTACTGTGGATGAGCTCGAATGGTTTAGCAGAAACGCGTACAACCTTGCATTGAAGAACACCGCGGTCTGGGAGCTCCGCTGGGTTGTGAGGATGTTAAGCGCCTGCGTCGGCATCATCGGTCACTTCCCCCCGGATATCAATTCCAAAGTTGAGTTGTCCCTGAAAACACTCTTCTCACACTTCATCATCTCATCTGCGCTGGTCTCGCTGGCGCGAACACAAGACAATGTCGACAAACAACAGGAGGACTACGCCACTCTGCGAAAACATGTCACGGCGTTTGACTCCGAGCTGCCCGAGTACTTGCCGCAGCTAGATGAGCAGTCAGCAGCTGACATGCTTCGAAAGCATGCCACATTACTCGCCTTCGACTTCGAGGCGGCGATTGCTCTGAAACAATGGGACGACCTGGGAAACATTGTTCAAAGGACGGCACCATGTAGGAATATCACGGCGACTCCAGGCCATGGCAGATAGTTTACTCAGAGCCCAGGCTCCAGGGCAAGGTATGGCCCCCTTTGCTTTACATCTTTTGTCCACCACCCCTAACGACTAACCGTTTCAAGCCCTGTACTCGACCATGCGCAAAATTGTCAACGAGATCTGGGTCCTCGAGAACTTTGACGCCGTCAAGTTGGCCAAGTACACGCGCTGCCTGTTCCAGGCGACCCTACCACTGGACGATGCCCTGGCGATGCGGTTGCTCGAAGAGGCATGCGACAAGGCGAGGGAGTTGCGCGAGGTAAGCCATCACCCCCATTTCCAACCCCCTGGCCAAGTCCCTCCCCGCCGAAGAATGCGTTATACTTACTGTTCCTACAGAGTCAAGCAGCCTGGCCCGAGGAAGAACTCGAGTGGATGGCGACGACGTCCTTCAACCACGCCATCGACTGCTACAGCGTCCATGAGACCGACCGCGCCAAGGAGTGGGCGACCAAGGCGATCAACCTGGCCCACTATTGTAATGATAAACAGTTGGAGGAGATCTTGCAGAACAAATATCTGCGACTGAGTTTTGAAGGTGGATCGGGGTAAGTTGCTGTTGAGCATATGGAGGAGGGCCGCACATTTTTGGGCAGGGGCCGTCACTTCCAGCCATACAGGGCACTCAGTTGCCAGCTTGAGGATATAGAGGTAGCTTTGACCTTCAGCTTAACGGAAGATGGATTGTTATTGACGCTGGGCAGGGGTGAAAATTCGTGCAATTTACCCTAAAAAGGACCAATGATGACAGGTCGGGATCCAAGTACACCACCGCAAGCTCAACCGCTAGATAGCATGCCACTCAAACAGAAGACTTGAATCATCAAACTATCTCATGGCACCCAAATAGTCCAAATCACACCACAGCCCCAATCCCAAGCCTAAATAGCGATGAAGAAACTCCTCTCTCCCTCCTTAGCCTTCACCCGAGCCCTCTCCACAATAGGATCGACACAAGCCAGTCTAATCCTCTCCGGCGTGGCCGGACTCTCCAACCGGAGCAGCCCATCGCTCTCATCCTTGGAATCCACGCCCACCGCCGCCTCGACGCCGTACTGCGCGCGCGCCGCCTTCAGCGCGTCGCGGATCGCAAAGAACACGGCACTGCCCATGAACAGCGGCGGCTCGCCGACGCCGCGGCTCCGCTGGATGGTGCGCAGGTCCTGCCACTCGACGTCCTTGAGCAGGCTGACGTTCCAGACCTGCGGGATGTCGCGGAACGAGGGGATCTTGTAAGCGCCGGGCCCGCGGGTGAACAAGCTGCCCTTGAGGGGCCCGTTGCGCAGCCAGAGGGACTCTTCCATGGTGAACAGGCCCACGCCCTGGATGAAGGCGCCCTGGATCTGGCCGTAGTCGATGGCTGGGTTGATGGAGCGGCCGACGTCCATCTTGACGTCGGCTCGTAGACAGGTCCAGGACCCTGTGAGGGTGTCGATCTCGACCTCGGCGGCGGTCACACCCTGCGTGAAGTAGAAGAACATCTTACCCTTGTTTTCGCCCCAGGTATAGCCGATTTCGGGTGTCTTGTAGAAGCCCTGGGCTGAGAGGTTCACGCGATCGAAGTAGGCAGCGTGGGCGAGTTCTTTGAGGGTTGCCGAGGGGCCGAGCTTGGCACGGTAGGGGGCCAGGCGCTCGTTGAGCTGTTCACAGGCGTTGTGGATGGCGTAGCCGTTGAGGTCGGAGGAGGCAGACGCGGCAGTGGCCGACGCGTTGGCGACGGTGTTGGTGGCGGTTTCAGAAATGTAGACGTCCTCCATCGGGACGTTGAGGGCTTGCGCGGCGATCATGGTCATCTTTGTGTGCAAACCTTGACCCATTTCTGTTCCCCCGTGGGCGACAAGAACAGACCCGTCATGGTAGATATGGACCAGCGCTCCGGCCTGGTTGAACCAGAGGGCTGTGAATGAGATACCGAATTTGGTAGGAATCAGAGCCAGCCCTCGCTTGCGCCATTTGTGATCAGCGTTGAACTTGGTGATGGATTCGCGGCGGTTCGCATAGTCGGATTCCTCCTGGACCTGCTTGTACATAAGGGGTACATGCCAGTCGGTCAGGGGTTGGTTGAAGTGGGTGAGCGCTTCCGGCTTATACATGTTGATCTCCCGGAACTTCTCCACAGGAATTCTCAGGCGGTCGGCCACCTCGGACATGAAGGACTCGGCGATAAACATGCCCTGGGGACCGCCGAACCCGCGGAATGCCGTATTTGACATGGTATTCGTTCTGCAAATGCGGCCGCGAACGTGGATATTGGGGATCATGTAACAGCCATCGGAGTGTGTCATGGCACGCTCGCACACAGCGGCGCTAAGATCCCAACTCCAGCCGGCATTATTGAAGATGTCAAGATCGAGCGCCTGGATCTTACCGTCTTTGTTCACGCCCACCTTCCATCGTCCTAAGAAGGGGTGTCGCTGACCAGTGGTGAGCATGTCCTCCTCGCGCGTGAGCATGCAACGGACCGGCCTGCGCGTTTTCTGTGCCGCTAACGCGAGGATCGAGCTGAGTTGGACTGAGCGGGACTCCTTGCCGCCGAAACCTCCGCCCATGCGTTTGACCTTGACGACGATCTTGTTGCTCTGGACGTTGCAAACCTGTGCCGCGTATGCCTGACTAGAAGAAGTTAGCAGACGATTCGATACAACTCGAGATATGACACTCACGCTTCGTTGGGGTTCTGGGTACTGGACCAAATCTCCATCTCACCATCTTCAGGCTTCGGAATCACGATAGACGCATTTGTCTCCAAGTAAAAGTGCTCCTGTCCTCCCATCCGGGCAGTACCAGTGAAGACATGATCGCAATTCTTGAATGCTCCCTCGGAATCGCCCTTCTTAAGCTCCCTGAAGAACTCAAAGAAGCTCTCCTTTTCAATAGCCTCCTCAATGGTGAAAATGGCAGGCAGCTCCTCATACTCGACCTTAACGGCGCGGGCACCCTCGGCCGCCCGGGCCGCCGAAGTAGCCAGAACCAACCCGATGGGTTGGCCAGCCGTATAGACCTCATCTTCGGCAAAGAAGGTCTCTTGGAAATGTGGCGCGCCCCAGCGGTTTGCGCGGGCGCTCGGCATATCTGTCTTATCGACATAGTCTACCACACCAGGAATGTCAAGGGCCGGAGTGTGGTCGACCGACTTGAGCTTTGCGTGAGCTTTCGTTGAGAGCACCAGGCACCCGTACAGCTCGTTCTTCATGGGCGGTATGTCATCCGTGTATTGCGCCTCGCCAGTGACTTGCTTCAAGGCCGCGACATGGGGGTTGGACTTTCCGAGCGTTTCCTGCATATACGCTTCGGCCGCGGTATGGTCCTCTTTTCCCCTAGAGATATCTCTCTCGAGTTCGGGAACCGCTTCCACATCGGCCTTTCCGCCGAGCGATTCCATTACCTCATGGTAGAACCGGTAGAAGAAACCTAGAGCCAATGACTTTCGGTACGACGCCATACCGCCGGGCACGCCGAACTGCAGATCAAAGTCCTGTCCCAGGGCGTTCATAGCCCCTTCAAGGGTCTCCAACTCGGCGAACTTTCTCCCCACGAGGAACCCATTCGCTTGTTTCGCTGCCACCGTCGTCGGAGCCATGCCGCCATAGACGAGATTCGCTTGCTCGATAACCCCATCGTCACTCAACCGAAGTTTCAGGGCAGACGTAACGATTGCAATATCATCGTCCTTCCGCTTCGCTTGTTTGTAGGCTCGGAAAAACTCGTTCTTCTCTTGTGTGAGCGGGATGCGAATCGCCGCGAGAACTGCATCCGCTGGTAGCGCCGTTCGGCGATAGCCCTGGAAGAACTCTGACATGGGGATTTCAACGTCCTGGCTCAGAGTCTTTGCAACGAGAACAGCATCTGCGGCCATAAAAACCGGGTTCAAATCCGAAATGGGAGATGCCGTAACTAGGTTTCCAGCTGGCGTGCCGACATTCCTGATCTGCCTCCCTGCAAAGTACTTGAGCTGCTTGTAGATGGCGGTGAATATCTGGCCCCGGTCCTCTCCATAGTGCCTCAAGGCCTCCTGACAGACACCTTCAAGGTCCGTAAGCGTGATGTTGCCTCCGATCTCCAGATGGTCTTCCTTCAAGGAGTACTGCCTTAGTTCCGGGATGTCCCCAACAAACACCGAGACCGGGTACTGAAGCGCCTTGAACTTGATCTCGATCTGCGTCTCGGTGCTCCCGCCTATTAACTTCGCGCTCGGATACTCGCTCTTGATCTCGAGCAGTTGGTGTAGGGTTACAGGGCGGAGCCACTTCTTGCGCTTGTTTCCGAAAGCCAGCGGCTTAAACGTGTGCTTTTTCAGTGCCGGGGGAAAGATGAGTTCGGTGTCCGGTTTGTACTCGATGAACCCCGGCGGTGTGAATCTCTTGATCTGTTGGTCGTCGACGCCGTCCACCTTCCCATCCTTGCAACATCCGCCGCCATCACCGTTCTCCATACAACAGCCACTCCCCCCATTCGCCTTCGCATTCCCACACCCATTAGCCCCACTCGCTTCCCTCTTCACGCTGAACGTTTGCGCAGCGTCTAGGATGGGCCGGTATCCCGTACAGCGACACAGATTTCCATCGAATGCCTCCTCGATATCGTGCTCGGTCGGTGCCTGGTTGTTCCTGAGAAGAGCATACAAGCTCATGACGATGCCCGGGGTACAGAAGCCGCATTGGGAGCCGTTGCTCTTTGCCACACGTTCCTGAGCCGGGTGGGGCCGCCTGACGTTCCCGATACCCTCCACGGTGATGACATGTTTTCCGTCGACGGAGGCGAGGGGTGCGAGGCAGGCATTGACGCTAGCGTGATATATCTTCTTCGTTGTCGGGTTATACTGCGAGACAACGACTGTGCAGGCGCCGCAACCGCCTTCGCTGCAACCTCTGTGGCAAATATCGTCAGTATCATGCGGCGCGACAGGAGGAGTTATCAGGGGATATGAACGTACAGCTTGGTCCCTGTTAAACCAATACCCCGGAGATATTCAAGTAGTGTAACTTCGGGGTCGACCTCGTCGAGCACAACACGGGTGCCATTAAGGTAGAAGCGAAGAGTGTCGTCGAAAGTGGTGGTCAGTATCGCGGAGGGCACCGTGGCGGGTTCCGGAGGTACAGCAGAGGGAGTCATGGTCAAGGTCGCCCCCGGGATGACTTGACCCGTGGGTGGTGATGTTTTTTGGTTCTGCTGATGTTCGAAAAAGAACGGAACCGAGGAACTCGAAAAACGGTAGTTGGGTCAAGGAGAACTGGTGAACTAGTGGCAACGGCGGGGTTGGTACTTGGTAGAACCTGTGCTATGTTTTTTAAGATCTCTCGCAGAGTGCCCCGTCCAGCAAGGCGAGTGACTGGATCACGGTGTAGTGAAGTGAGTTGAAGATATGAAGAAGCCGAGTGGCAAGCTCGGAAAGAGGACGCCACCTTCCTTATTATGTTTGGTACCTAAGGTACAGTTGATCTCCATCCCCAAAACTGCCCGCCAGATGACCAGGATGACCCGCACCGCCTCCGCTCCTCGTCTGCCATAAACGAATACGTTTTGGGGTAGGACGGGGTTGCAGCTAGTGCTCCTGTTTTCTGTTCTAACTTTCCAATTACCATCATGAAAGAAACCGGGTAGGAGCGAATGAGGGTTGCTGGCCACCAAGTTCTCCGCCCTTTCTCGATTGCCAGCACTGGAGCTTATCAGCATGGTGGGGTTATTTGCGGGCGCACCCGCTGATTAAGGCCCCGCGTTGATTGGCTTCGGCCAGCTCCGTCACGCGCCAGCGGCCGTTTGGAGAAGGAGGTTGTCGGGGAACTCCATTCCTCACTATCCAGTACCCTAACCCTATCAGAGCCCCGTTCTCGCCTCGACGAACTCGGTTGCCTCGATTGCCAATCCCCTTTCAATTATTGCAACACACACTGCGAACAAATACACCACTCGAATTACAGTCGGATAGAAGGGGCGGACTCACCCGATGTTATAGGGACGACGCGCTCAACAACTCGATGATCTGCAACTCCACAACTTCTCCATGACATCTCCGCTCCAAGCCTCATGCGCTAAGCTAGGCTCAGTCAAGGGTTGACCCGACTAGTTTGTTTAGGTATTTTGGAAATGGAGACAACCTTTCTGTTATCTTGGCCAAAAATATTCATGATCAATATTGATGAGTGGTTCAGGCCGCTTAGCTGGAGCAACACCTAGTCTCACTTCTTTCCTAGGACCAACTGCTGAAACAACATGATAAAAGGATGTCGCAACCGTCGGCGTTTCCAAGTTCCCCCAGCCCGCCAGCGCGGCATATCAACCGAGCAATGGGCCCCTCATTCTCCGCACCCAAGAGTTGTTGGCCAACCCCTGGGAAAAGGTACTCCGGGTATTTAATAAAGGCCGTCGGGAACGATCTCAAATGGATGTGGTAAATATATAGATCGGCATGGAAAAGTACACGATCCCTTTTAGCAACTCACAATTCCCCCTTCCCTCCTCCATACCGTGACGCAAAGTGATCTACCAACACCACCAACCCAATCAATATCAGCGCACACCAAAAAATGCAACCCCAGTTCTACAACATCGTCAACGACGAGCTGCGCAGCAGCAAAGAGACGCACCGGGTAACCGACCCGCGAACAGAAGAAGAGCTCTGGGAATGCCCCGTCGCAACCGCCGAAGACTTCGAAGATGCCGTCACCGCGGCACAACAAGCCTTCACCAAGTGGTCGCAGACCACCGTCCCCGAGCGCCAAGCCCTCCTCATCCAACTGGCCGACATCCTCCGCGCCAACGCCTCCGAGCTCGCCAGCATCCTCATGAAAGAAACCGGCAAGTCCAAGATCCTCGCCGACATCGACGTGCAGGCCAGCGTCGCCCAGTGCCTGTACTACTCCCAAACGGCGCTCCAAGACGAAGTGCAGCACGAGGACACGCACTCCCGCGTCGTGGCTACGCACATCCCCCTCGGCACCGTCGCCGCCATCTGCCCGTGGAACTTCCCGCTGATCCTGTCCAACATCAAGGTGGTCTCGGCGCTGGTGACGGGAAACTGCGTCATCGTGAAGCCGTCGCCCAGCACGCCGTACGCGGTGATGCGGTGGGTGGAGCTCAGTCGCGGGGTGCTCCCGCCGGGCGTCTTTCAGGTGCTGAATGGGGGGGCGGAGCTGGGGGCTGCGATGACGGCGCACCCGGGGATTGCGAAGATCAGTTTTACGGGTACGATTGCGGTGGGGAAGAAGGTGATGGCGGCGTGTGCGAAGACGCTGAAGAAGGTTACGCTGGAGCTGGCGGGGAATGATGCGTGTATTGTGTGTGATGATGCGGATCTGGATGTTGCGGTGCCGGCTGTTGCGAGTGGGGGGTTCTTCAACGCCGGCCAGGTGTGTGTCGCGAGTAAGCGGATCTATGTGCATGAGAGTATCTATGATGAGTTTTTGGACAGGTTGGTGGAGGTGGTGGAAAAGCAATTTGCGATTCAGGAGGACGGGCTTGCGCCGAGTGTGTTTGGGCCGGTGGATAACCGCGTTCAGTATGAGGTCGTGAAGGGGATTATTGAGGATTGTAGGAATAAGGGGTACAAGATTGTCACGGGCGGCAAGACGGAGGAGGTCAAGGGGAAAGGGTTCTGGTTGCCGCCGACAATTGTGTCGAGGCCGCCGGAGGAGTCGTTGCTGGTGCAGGAAGAGCAGTTCGGTAAGTTCCCCGTCTCGGGCCCCCTTTCCTCTCCATGCTAACGCTAGTTAGGCCCCGTCCTACCCATCCTCTCCTGGTCTGATGAAGACGATGTCATCAAGCGGTCCAACCTCGCCAACGCCGGGTTGGGGGCGTCAGTCTACTCATCGGACTTAGCGCGAGCTGAGCGTATCGCGCGCCGGCTTGAGGCGGGCGGCGTCTGGATTAACCAGTTTGAGCGGCCCAACTTTGGCGCCTACTTCTCGGGCATCAAGGACAGCGGGTTCGGAGGGGAGATGGGCAAGCAGGGCTTGCTGTCGTATGCCTACACCAAGTGTTTGCACTTTCCCAAGTGAAGTGGCTAGGGGCGGTGTGGTGATGGGTTCGGGAACGTGATGTGGCGTTGTTAAGGTGTCATTCATTTTGGGATCGTGTCATAACTACCAGGCTATGGACAGAGGACTTTCATCCCACGTGCCGTGTATCCAGAAAGCAGTCGTGGCGGTGACGAGAGGCTGGTAATGCGATTGATTGGATACAGATGATATCGCTGATCCCACACAAATGCAGAAAAGCTCGTAACGGAGACAAAGCCACGGCACGATGAAGTCGGGTGAAGTGGCCCGCTTGCAGGCCTGGGAAGCCTGGCAGACCCGGCAGGATTTTATAGGCCAGGTTGAATACGAGGTCATCGGGCAGTCGGCTGGGAATCAGCTCCTATCAGCGTCGAGCAGTTGAACGCCACAACCAGCTTGAGGGTTCTTGGCTCTGTGTGACATCAACCGCCAACGGCACAGTGACGACCGCCAGGTATAAGCTGGAGGATCTTCCTACCGCGAAGGCACCGATATAAATGATATAAATAAATAATTGACCGCCCGCCCATGCTGACATCGACTCTCATTTTGCCAACTCGCATTTTCAGCAAACTGTAATTCCATAATTCCAACTAGACCTTCAAAATGAAGTTCACAACATTCGCCGCCCTTTGCCTCGGCGCAGCCCAGGCCCAGGCCGCGCAGTACACTGACTACTTCTTCCGCTATGCCGGCGGCAACGACATCATCAACGGCCAGCGCCTGCGCTCCAACAACTCGATCGACTTTTTCTCACCCGGCGTAACCCAGCCACCATACAACCCCGAAGACCGTAAGCCAATAAAACAAAACCCAAATCTCCTCTCACCACACACCACTCCACATCCCCAACAATACTAACACCCCCCCCCCAGATTTCATGCGCCTCACCACCAACGCGACCTCGTGCACGCCCCAAGCCATCCTCACCGTGGTGCCCACCAAGCCGCACCCGCCGCCCGTCCCGGGGTACTACGGGCTGAGCGACCTGGAGGGGATCGCGGACGCGTACCGGCTGGTGTACACGTACCGGCTGGACGACGCCGGGGCCGGGTTCCAGTACACCGAGTGGCGGCTGCAGCGCACGGGCGAGGCGGGCCGCGTGCTGCTGCGCTATGCTGGGAAGGGGCCGGAGTGGAAGTGGATTGCGGTGAGGGAGGCGAGCGCGCCGGGGGGGGTGGAGAAATGTGAGTTTGGTGTTTTTTTTCTTCCTTTTTTTTTTTCTCGTTTTGGGGTGTTGGCGGTGTTGGTTTTATCCCGTGCTCCGAAGGGGTGAGGGCCCGGATATCTTGGGGACGGGTGGTGTTGAGACAAGATTACAGTACATACCACATGGATGGTCCAGCTAACGACGGTTTTCTAGGGGTCCCGTGGTATGTTAAGCGATCGGATGCCAACGCTGCGACTCTGGGCGAGTGGGATATCGAGGAGGTGGACTTGGAGCTGGTCCAAGCGAAGGGCCCGGTGAACTCGCAAGCGCCAGGGGGCGTTGAGGAATAGGCGGGGGCTTCTACAACCATAAATGGTATTAGTGTTGTAGGCGGGTATGCACACGCGTTAATTACTACCCGGGTTCTCGGTTGATGCGTGGATGGAAACCGGCGGAGGCGAGCCAGACTTGTTGGCAACCCGTTTTTGTGAAACCCATCCCCAGAATTCTAATAACCTAATGCAAAGTCCAATTGACCATTCAACTCAGTTCTTGTGGTGGCCGTACCGTGCGGGCTCTCCGGGAGCCGATTGACACTCCACTGCCCCCGGATTTGCGGAGCTCCCGCCGGCCTGCCAAGCCCCGCGGTGACCCGGCAGCGGTCCGGGTCCATCACGGGGGAGACTATTATTGTTTCCATTCGAAATTACAAGGCGTCAATTATCTGTTTCAGATCTCTCTTTTCGGAACACTTTCTTCAAATCTACAATTATGTATGGTGATACTCCGAGAAGGAGGGTAACACACTCCCTGCATTCCGGAACTCAAGACCTGGTTGGATCCTTTTTGTGGTTCGATCCCATGTGAATGACGCCTCTTATTTAGCTCCGAATATGGATGACCCCTCTCTCCCTCGAGACGTGGGCTGAACAAATGACAAATTTGGATCTTCTTTCGGATGGTTTTCCATGAATCAGTGGCAAGCAAAGCGGTTGTCGTGCCTCGGCATATCCGCTGCATCCCCGCATCTGGGCGCTGGGGTACCGAGTGTGGGGAGCAAGTCCCCGGGACAGGGGTCTCAAAGCACATGGGACGGTTTCGAGACTTAAGACGAAGCCCTTTCCATCACCCGAACTAACCGGTATCGTCTCAACTTCATACCATTGACTTGTATCGGACTCGAGGTTCCACCCATCAACTTACACATATCATAACCACCACCATGGCGCCCAAACAGAAAGAGCCGTGCTACGTGCTCGGCGTGGGCATGACCAAGTTCATCAAGCCTCGCGGCAAGGTCGACTACACCGAGCTCGGCTACGAGGCCGGCATCAAAGCCATGCTGGACGCCCAGATCTCATATGACGACGTCGAGCAGGGCATCGCGTGTTACTGCTACGGCGACTCTACCTGCGGCCAGCGCGTCTTCTACCAGTTCGGCATGACCCAGATCCCCATCTACAACGTCAACAACAACTGCTCCACGGGGTCCACGGGTCTGGCCATGGGCCGCAACATGATTTCGTCCGGCGCCGCCGACTGCGTGCTGGTCGTCGGCTTCGAGAAGATGATGCCCGGCAGCCTGCAGAGCTTCTTCAACGACCGAGAATCGCCTCTCGGGACAACCTACGCCATGATGGCAACAACGAGGGGTCTTTCTAAGGCGCCCGGGGCTGCGCAAATGTTTGGCAATGCCGGGCGCGAGTACATGGAGAAGTCAGTCACCTTTAACCCCGTCTTACTTCTTTCACCTCCCTCCCTCAACCCATCCTAACCACCCCGCACCACCCTCAGATACGGCGCAACCCCCTCCGACTTCGGCGAGATCGCGCGCATCAACCACGCGCACAGCGTCAACAACCCCTACTCGCAATTCCAAGACGTCTACACGCTGGAGCAGATCATGTCGTCCCCCGCCATCCACTCCCCGCTCACCAAACTCCAATGCTGCCCGACCTCGGACGGGGGCGCCGCCGCCGTGCTCGTCTCGCAGTCCTTCCTCGACGCGCGCCCCCACCTACGCGACCAGGCGGTGCTAATCGCCGGCCAGTGCATGGCGACGGACGCGCCATCGCTCTTTTCGCAGAGCGCGATTGATTTGGTGGGGCGCGAGATGACGGAGCGGGCGGCGCGCGTGGCGATGGCGGAGGCGGGCGTGGGGCCGGGGGATTTTGCGGTGTGCGAGTTGCATGACTGCTTTAGTGCGAATGAGATGTGTTTGTTGGATGCGTTGGGTCTGGCGGAGCCCGGGCGGGCGCATGAGCTTGTGCGTGCCGGGGGGATTACGTACGGCGGGAAGGTGGTGGTCAATCCGAGTGGGGGGTTGATTTCCAAGGGCCATCCGCTTGGTGCGACGGGGATCGCGCAGTGTGCGGAGCTGGTGTGGCATCTGAGGGGTTGGGCTAACAATAGGGCGGTGCCGCATACCAAGCATGCGTTGCAGCATAACTTGGGGCTGGGCGGTGCGGCCGTGGTGACGGTTTATAGGCGGGCTGATGGGCAGGAGGCTAAGGTTGTGGACTCGGCGGTTGTTGGGAAGGTGAACAAGCAGGGGTATAATCCGGCCGTGGAGGCGCGCGGGTTCACGGCCGAGCAGGCACAGAGGGTGAGGAGTAAGGATAAGACGCATGAGTTTGCTATGACGGCGACGCTGCCTATGATGAAGGCGGCGCAGGCGAAGGTGTAGGCGGTTTATGGAGTTTCTGGGGGTTGTAGTGTAATGTGGTTGCTGTGGTGTATGTAGTACTATTATGGATCAGACGTTCTTTAAGCATTGAGTGTTTCCTGGCCTCCAGATCATCATCGCTACGTACTCGTTAGTATGCTGTGTGAATCAAGGCCTTCACCAAGCTCTTGGGAGTGGTTTGTTTTTCATCCTCGAACTTGCCTGAAGTGACGTGACGACTATGCCACTCGTCAAGCTCCGCGTGGTCTATTTCCGGTTGCATCGATATTCTGCTCGACCACCCAACGTATATCCTCGGTTGCATCAGCGATCTGACTCCTTCCCAAAATATAATACCTATTGAGACTTGACAGCCTGATGATCGTCAGGTGGACGTCCGCAAGCTGCCCAAATACCCGTTCTCATGTAACGCGGCATTGCCGATCAAGAATACTATTCCTGTCAACCTCTGGCCAGACACAACGCTAAAACATTGAACCGGGCTTAAAAACTCGTCCCAGTCAAGCTCAACCTGGAAGTTGTGATGGGAGAGACAACCGAGGGAGGTGCAAGTCCCGGCTTGGCAGGTACGTCGTCTGTGTAGTGGGGCCGTGCGCTGTCTGAGATTGTTCCATTCAGCTTCGATCGGATGATCACACACTTCCAAACACCAAGATGGCAGGAACCAGCCCCGGCCAATTCATGCGTTGCTCGGCGGCAAGCCCGAAAGTCGGGTGGTGGCTCTTTCCCTCTGTGATTCGTTGTGCCTTCGGCTGCCCTCCAGTTGGCCACTTTCCCAATGCACCAACCAGTTGCTGCTTTCTTCCCCATTCATGTTTTCTGTGGCAGCATCTCATCTGAGACTTCCCCCAATCCCATCTCACAACCTCACTTCTTCTCGCTTCACCCTCTGTTTGCTTTGGATGGGGCGATCAGCCCATCGCACCACGTTTCACGGCCGGCCCGCCTCCAATGACAGACCGTTCCAGTGGTGACCAGCAACGGCAGCTGTTTCTCGGTTGCCGAACCGCATGATTAAGCCCGCATTTACACGGAGCCGACGGCTCTTTTCGAGTATCTGCTGTTGGTGATTTTGCGGACCACTCATTGACGGCCACTTTTCTACTTCCGTGTCGTGATCGCCGTTCTTTGTTTTCCCATTAGCCTATTCCATAGTTATTTCCTCCGTCGCCCGTTTGGTTGTGCCCGGAGCGCTGATCAATATGAGGTGTTCCAAGTCCAGGTTGATGGTTCGAAGCAGTCTTTCTTGGGTGTGGCCCCCACGGCGTTTGCCGTAACACCCCCTTGACTAACCCAGACTGGACCTGGGACACGCCCAGGCAAGCCACATGCCTCCCCGGAACCATACTCCCTAGCCTCTGGTAGGAATTCCTCCGTGGTTTCGGAACCCGTTCTCATCAGCCATGTTGGCTGCCCACACCCTTTAGCCGTGATTCTCGGCGAGGCCGTCCCTCCAGTCGCCCGCCTTGCCGGGCCAGCCTTAAGATCTGAGGGACTGCCCCACCGCGAGCATCCCCTCCTTGTCCCCTGTCTAGTTTATTCATCCTCCATTCTTTCTGGTGACCCGGTACGATGAGAGGTTGTCGAGTCTCAATGTCCTAGTCCTCCTCCACCAACATGGCTGACCCAACAGCCGATCTCTCCCAAGGGCCGGTCCTTCTCTCCTTCTCTCTATCCACGGCAAGCTTTACCCTGGCAACGACTGTTGTTCGCTTTTACGTCCGGCGGGGTATCCACGGTGGTTTTGGGGTCGACGATTATACGAGTGGCGTGGCAACAGTGAGTCTGGCCGACTGAGGGAGCGAAGCCAGAATCCTAACTCGAATCAGGTAATAGCACTGATCGCAACCATCTTTGGTATTCTCGAGGGCACCGCCCCGGACGGGCCACGGGCCTTGCAGTTCAACGTGATAGGGCAACCGTGGTATCTCGTCAGCGTCACGCTCAGCAAGATCTCGATATGCTTCTTTTTTATGGATCTTCTGAGGAGGGCAAGGCAGTGGCGGATTCTGCTGGCCGGCTTGATCGTGTTGATGGCCGCTATCAACCTGGCCTTTGCGCTGGTCGTGTACCTCCAATGCCAGCCGTTGAAGAAGGCGTGGGATCCATCAGTGGCTGGTAGCTGCTCAGATCCGAACATACAGATCCATTTTGGTTACGCGCAAGGCGGTACGATTCGGCTTCTTGCTTTACTCTGAACTTGGCTGACGGTCCCAGCTTTTCGGTATTCTCATGGGTCTTCCTCGGCCCTCTTCCCAATGCT